TATTGTATCCTCCTTTCTCTTTCTCTCGTAGGAGGAAGGGAGAGCAACAGTAAGAGAGAAAATGCAAAACAGCGTTTCTCTCCTCCTCTCCCTCCCTTTTCGCTCGTTTTATCTACCGTAATGTTTCTCTTTATCCATCTAAACATCATTATCTTCATCATTACTTATCATACCTAAACTAATTTATGGTTTTTCTCTATAGTTTTTTAAATCTTATATCTTATATCATATATAATATATGCGCGTATGTATGTGTGTGTATCCGTATACATACATTGAGAAACCTATTTGATCGAATCAAACAAAATTTTTTGGTTTGATTTTGTTCATTGAATTAGTAATATTTGTATTAACAAGAAATTATGTTATGAGAAACAAGTAAAATGTTACAATAACTAATTTTTTGATTGCATAGATCTGTTTGTTTCAGCAAAATTTCATAGTAGTGTCAATAGTAATGACAATTATTCAGTCATCACTATAGTTGTTTTGTTGTAATAATCAAAGAATTTGTTTCCCCATATCCAAACAAAAGATTTAGATGATTCAATCAAATTGTTTCATTCAATTAAATGGTTTCTCAATGTATGTACGTATATAGATATATGTACTTTATATCAATTAGTGTTATCAATTAAAAGTTAATACTATTGAGTCATCATCACAGCTAATTTCCCATCGACTCTTTGTTAAATGATTGATTTTCTGTCATTCGTGGCCTTTCCTCCTCCATTTCCTCATTTTCTCTCTCTCTCCTCCCCCTTCTTTCCCTCTCTCTCATCTTTCGCGTATTCTTTTCTATCTATCGATAAGAAAAAAATCGAGTCTGGCGCTCATTATCGTCCTCCGAAAATCCCGATTACACGTGGCTCTCAATACGAATATTCAATTTTTTTTAGTAACGCGCTCCTGGAATCTTAAGGAACAGGACGAGAACGTTTGTACCGTTCAACCCGCGATCAAACTTTACGGAAGATATTTTTCTTCCCCTTGTCGAAGTTACAATTTTCACGTTCACGCAGCTGATATTTACACATTGTTATTCTAGCGCGAGCGTCTTCGCGACAACAGATACACACGTTTCCATTTGCTCCGTATATCCTTCTGTCTCCCTTTCTTTCACCGGACGGCAGTGTTTAATTCGTTTCTCTTCTCGCCCCAAAGATCTACCGAGAATTCTGAGACCATGACGATATATCCGACCCTGAATCCGTCAAGATCGAAAGTCAAGATCTCTCTTTCCAATCGCGCGTTGACTTAGCTATCGTGACTGGCTCGAAGACTCTTACACACATTCTACAATAACCTACTATTTAAGCTTTTTAAGAAATTGACAAGTCACAATCGAAAGACTAATCGACTATGAGTCTATCGACTATCAGTCCATTTTTATGACTTAAGACTTAAGGAGCACAGACTTTTGCATAAAGCATGAAAACATCAACCAGTCTTTTATTTTGTAGAAAGGAAATAAAGGACTTTGATTCATTTTCTTCTGCATTATGCGTTATGCAAGACTCTGTATTTTTGCCCTTAAAGCTTAGGTAACAGCTTATTGTAAAAAGCCTATACGATCAAACGGATTGCGATATCTCGAGATATCGTTATGCCTTTTCAAAATTATTCATGGAAACAACTTGCCTGCTTCTACAATCGCTATTGTTCGCGAGAACTGTTTACGGAAAAAGCGTCTACGAAAAGCAACAATCAACATATATAAAAGATAAATGCTTTCACAAAAAAAAAAAAAAAAAAATAACAGCACAAATTTTATATATGGCGTTTAAAATAATGCAATACGCTTCGTTGTAAAGCAATGCAAAAAATATACAAACAACGCGGTAGACAATTCCATATGATTCTGTCCAAGGAGCTGATTTGTCCGTTGCAAATCAAGTTGGAAGCTATGCAAATAAGTGCATACGCGGATATGTATTAGGATCGTTCCAATCCAATCGAAAGTTTACGTATTAGATTAACAAGCTCCCAGCTTGACAGTTTCGATAATTAGTCCGTCAAATTTTTGTTCAATTCAGATTGTATAATACGTACACATTTTATATATATATGTATATATATATATGCATATCATTTGAAGTGTTATGAACTCGTAATGTTACTCCAAATCCAAAACCGCTTCCTTAAAGGTCCATGTTTATATAATACCAACATACGCAATCCAACGTTTTCAAAAGGCGGCTTTGGGACACAATCGCAAGTTGATCAACAACACGTGGAACAATACTAGAATGATATCTTGGCCTCCAAGACATTAATCGGTATCGTTCAGTGTGTTGTTGTCCAGCTCACGAAAGAATAAAAAAAAGAATCGAAAAATAAAACAAAAGAAAAGGCAATGTAATGCAAAACAGATTTGCACTCATTCTACTCTATAATTTAATCGTTTCAGCTCTTTGTACGGTCACGTAGAATTAAATTCCGACGCGATCATTTCGTTCTCCTTCATCGATTCTCGTGTTAAGACACGTGCACGGATTCGTTATCGCCGCGAACGGCGAGCAAATTAAATTTCGAATGTGAAAGCACGTATATCGATTCTGTAAAAAATGAAAAAGAAAAAACTATGCTGTGACGATTCGTAATTCTTGCGAATGTAAACCGAGCTGCGAGGGCAAACGGAAAACGAGTTGCCAAACTCTCTCCGCATATGTTAATCCCAGGATTATCGATTTCCTCTCTCGAGTCCGGTCGCGCACGATGTTAAAGATGAAAAAAAAAAATGAAAGGGAAACGTCTCGCGCACGTTCGATCAATTTACATCCGATAAACATCTATTGTCTCTCCGTGTAGAAACATATCTTCCTTCGACAATTTTCGACGTCATATGTAGATCAAATCAGCCGATCGTTACTTCAACGCACGATCGTGTGTTAGATACCGTTCGAGGATTTTTCATCTTACAAAACTATAAATACGAAGCGAGCAATCGAAAAAATCGAAATCGCGCGTTTTGATATCGGTCTCTGTCGATTTTGCGTTTTTCTACTCATTCACGCTCATCCCACATTCACACCCGTCTCGTAAACTTATTCTTATCTAAGACTAATCGTCTACCGAAGAAAGCAATTTGACGTAAGAAGAGAAAATAGGTGGACATAAATGTTGCAAAAGGATTATTGCATGTTCATCAGAAAACTTAAAAAAAAAACTAAAAAAAAATAAACATTAATTAAAATACTACGTCAAAGAATTTTGCTCAGTCTGTGGCATGAAATAATTTTGCTTACAAAATAAGAAAAAAAAATAAGAAATAAAGGTAACACACAAATTTTAAAGTTTGCAAATCTAAATCTAAACTGACGAAATCACACTATCGATTTGATTGCGCAATGTCAAATCGATTGTATTCTCCACACTATTATATCATTAAGGCCTTAGCTTACTACTACCATTGTTATTTATTTACCCTTAAATATTATTATCATTATCATATTATATATTAAGTCCGTTTACTGTGTCCAGTATATAGATAGAAGTGTGGTGCGAGTTTGATATGACAATTGCGCCCGTAAAGCATTGTAAACAACGAAAAAGTTCAGACTACCCTTCTTCCTATACCTGTTAGCACAAAAAACGATCTCAAGAAACTCACACGAAGGACAACTCTTCAAGGACGGGTTAAGTTAACGTTCTGTTACCGTTAACGGCTGCTCCTGCTTTTAATCTACTTATTAATCTCGGTCCCTTAGGGACGCAGCCGCATATTACCCTTTAAATGTCGTTATCCTGTCTCTTACCGTTACGGCTACACTGAAAAAAAGATTGGTTGCTGCAGCAAATTAGATGGCAAAATATGGCATAGCATTTTTAATTGGCTGCAACAGCCAATTTTTGGTTGCGTTAGTCTATTCGCAATGTCAGTATAGGATTTCGATTGGCTAACGCAACCAAAAATTGGCTATTGCAGCCAATTAAAAATGCTATGCCATATTTTACCATTTAATTTGTTGCAGCAACCAATCTTTTTTTTCAGTGTACGATTGCGTTCTAAGAAGAAACAATCGGTGTTAGTTAAATCATGACAGTCACGACGCTAATGTTCTTTTCCCTCTTAAAAGTCTTTGTCCTCGATATCCGCGTCTAAATGAAGCATTAGAATAGTTAGTACTTGAATTTTTCAAATGTAACAACAGTCATCGCGACGCTCAACGAGCATAGATTGAAATATGAATCGAGACAAGAAAGATTATAAATTAGTGACCACTTCGTTTGCAACGAAAAAACCTGTCAAATTTTCTCTCTTTCTTTCTCTATCTTTGTGTTATTGTAAAAATAAATCTTAAATTTACATTACATGCAATTAATTAGTAATTTTGTTGAAACATGTCGAAAATCGAGAGCACGAGAAAAGTGGTCGAAATGTGAATTTTCCGCAAATACATTATGATGATCATCATGATGCATTTGCGAAGCGAACAAAGCATTCGTTCGATCCTCGCCTCTCTTTCAAATTTCTCCTGATCCCCTTCCTTCTTATTATGTCGGTCACGTTCAATTAACCCACTCGCGTAACACGCACTAAGAAACTCAAAACCTTATACATCTATCTCACGTAAAGAGTAACTATTGGCAGAGAGTAGCAGAATAGCAAGAAAATAAAAATATTTCCAACAAAAAAAATGAAAAAGAAAAGTAAACGGAAATTAAGAAAAAAAAAGCTGCCTGAAATAAACCTCTTATACGAAGCCATTGTTTTTTTACAATCCGTAATACCAAAATGATAAAGCTCGCGAAAGAAACTATTAATAAAGAAGTATACTGATAACGATCATTAGTCGGGCGGCTATTAAATAGTTGCTTGTCCAGCATCTCCGTGCTATGGATCTTTGTCTCTAGTGTCGACGATTAGAGCACGAGGGGATAATAAAAACGTGTATTCGAACACCGGGTGTCTCGAGAACGGCATAAAGCGCGAGCTTTCAAAAGTCGCTTTGGAAAAAGCGGTCACGAAAAAAATCATCGGACGCTTGTTCTCTTTCTTTTTTTTCAACGCGTCGATATTGAAGTCCATCGTTCGACAAAAAAATCGCGAAGCGTTACGCTTCGCTCGTCCGCGCTTGTCGTCTCGTCAGACTGAGGATGTACTCTTTTCTCTCTGTGTGTGTGTCGGATGTTATAGATAATATATATATGTATGTACGTGGGGCTCTCTCCTTGTGTTCCTTTTTGTAAGTTTAGCGGTATACGATAATCTAAAATACAGTATTACTTACATTTTGTCACAATGGTGGCGCGTGATGGGAGTTCCAGAACGCATATATATACATATATAATGTATCTCTCGCGCGCACACATCGATCGCGGCATCGGGACGCACCGATGCATCGCGTCGTCAGCCCTCCCCCCCCGCGGTGCATAGTTTATATACGATTTGAAGTTTGTATGCTGGATGTATCTTAAGAGTAAAGAACGGATTACGGGTATCCACTCGCGCGATAAAATCGAAAACCCGTGTGTATATGAACCGCACACGGTGTCACCATCATCGTCGTCATCATAATCTTCACATTTTTCCTCATCATCGTCGGTATCATCGTCTCTCTTATTCTCGCAGTCTTTTCGGCCGATGATTTTATCGACGATAATTCCCTACTGTACCTGATTCTTCCAGAGCTGTTGACGGTCGCCGCTTCTCCCCTCGCGCGTTGTTGGTATATACGTTGGTTTTTGGGTATCAGGCCTGGACGTTCAGCACTATACGCAATTGCCTCGTGTGTTCGCTTACGCTGTCTGATTGGCCGCAGCTGTCCATCAATCTGCTCGTCCAATGACTTGGCGGCTTGGGCACGCTCGCGGGCGACGGTGTTTCCGAGAACTTGGCGCCCGCGTAGAAGTTATTGGTCGGGCTGCTGCTCGGACTGCGCTGCTCGCAACGTTGTTGTTGCTGTGGTGTATGCTGCTGTTGCTGCTGTTGTTGCTGCTGCTGCTGCTGTTGTGGCGAGTTTCTCGCGCTTTTGGACGACGGGCTGTACGGGCTGCAGCTCTGCCGTCCATCTTTAGCATTTCTGACTGTATGGCGGCCGTTCTTGTATAGGAACGGCGACGATTTACTGTTGGAACGATTATGATGGTGGTTGTGCTGGTACTGATACCCGACCTTCGGCGAGGCCTGCCGATCCACCTTGGCGTTATCTAACTTGGGCGCGGAGTTCGTCATGGCTCGGATGTTTTGTCTATCTATCTATTTCTCTCTGTTTCACTTTTCTAATATCTCCTCGTTATTCAGCCAACTCGTTGGCCTGCAACACAAAGCGGACATGCTTTCACTTCTTCTTTTTCCTAAAAATATCGTAACATTAATTTGTATTTAAAGTACTATTTTTCAAGGAAAAAGAGGACAATAACATTATCTCTGCTACAAAGCTACACTGAAAAAAAGACTGGCTGCTGCAGCAAATTAGATGGTAAAATATAGCATAGCATTTTTAATTAACTGCAGCAGCCAATTTTTGTTTGCAGCAGTCAATTTTTGGTTACATTAGCCTATCCGCAATGTCAGTATAGGATTTCGATAGGCTAACGCAACCAAAAATTGACTGTTGCAACCAATTAAAAATGCTATGCCATATTCAGCCAATCTTTTCTTTCAGTGTAGTTAAATACTTATTGTTAAGAATACTTTAGCAAATTATTAAAAATTTTTCATCTCTTCCGTAAAAATTTCATTTAATTAACTAATCTTTCTTTAGTCAAAATGCTGGAAGTTATACAGGTAAAAAAATGTTATGTATAGAGATTTCGCTGAAATTTATCTATGATGAATTATCATAGATAAAAACAAAATCTCATTAATATACTGGTTATGTTATATCGATCACTGTTTGCACTACATAAAATAAAATAGTTCCCTATATTAAGCATCATTTATTCCTACAATGAATATTCAAAAGAACATGCATCTGTGTGCATGAACAATATTTGAATTTGTAATATTATATTTACATAACAAGTTAGAGATACAAAATTCCTCGATAGTTTACACAGTTTTTTATCTTATCGTGAGAGAAGATAAATGAATATTTCTTTAAATATTCAAATATAATAAGACCAAGTTTATGCTAAAATTCTATCTTTATAAATCTTTGTAAATACCTTCACATAACGATAGAATGTTAGCACGCTGAAAAGCATATATTTGCAACATCTAAAAACAGACTCTGGCTATAATACAAATTGGCTTCATACACACCAACGAGCAGACGTGAGACGCTCAATAAGAGTCAATTCTATACTTTCTACCATACTTTCACCATCAAATACCTTTTTCAGAAGACAGAATTGTTTGCGACACAATAAAAAAGTCATTCAGTTCTTAATTCATTAACTAAAGGAATAAATATATTATGTATATATTAATGTATATTTAAAAAAAAACTGAAAAATATAAATAAAATATTTAAGAAA